TGGCTCAAGTGGTAGAGCACTAGCCTTGAGCTGAAAAGCTGAGGGACAGCGCCCAGGCCCAGAGTTCAGGCCCCACAACCGGACCCAAAAAAAAATTAACTAAATGAATAAAGAGGCTGAGATATATATTAAGTGATAAAGCACCTGCCTAGCCAGCATGAAGTTCAAAGCCCAGTAATACCAAAAAAAGAAGATATTAACTCAAGATAGATGCAATTTTATTGCATCGTTGCATAAATGCCTACATTTTAAGATTTGTTAGAATTCTTTCAGAAGTATTAACTAATTTCTCTTAAAGGGAGCTAAATTAATAATCTAATTTATATGAATTGTTGCCACTCACCTTTCTTTGCCTGTGTTTTAAGTTGGTTTTTGTCACATTAAAGGAAATAATATTTAACCTAAGCCCCAATTTTAACTTTCTTCACCTGCTTTTCTTACTTTTTTTTCAGATGGCAAACATATTTATCTTCATTCACTTCATCCACTGTGAATGGCTTTGGGTTTTTAGGCAACATCACATTATTATATAAATATAGAACTATATCAACATCGCTTAGAAGAATTTAAATGGCAGAAAGTGGGAGGCTAGGAAATTTTTCTTCTTGCCAAAAGGTATTTTCCTTAAAAAAAATCTTTATAGGCCCTCAGTCATGTCAATCCATGAATTGTCATTTGTCATTTGACTATAGTATGTGTGTGTGTGTGTGTGTGCGCGCGCGTTCACGTGCACATGAGTGTATGCAAATACTGGGGCTTGGACTCAGGGTCTCGCACTCTCATTTGGCTTTTTTGCTTAAGGTTGACACCCTACTCCTTGAGCCACACCTCTACCTCTAGATTTTTGGTAGTTATCTGGAGATAAGATTCCTGCTGACTTTTCTGCCCTGGCTGAGTTTGAACCTCAGATCTCAGTAGATAGGAGTACAGGCATGAGCCACCAGCACTTGGCTTTTAAAATATATTCTTCAAACTGGCTTAAGTATTCACTGAATAACCACCAAAGATAACCAAAAGAAGTTGCAGCTGCTTGAGTCTGAAGTATGCCACTGAACCAAAGTTGAATAATAATTAAAAAAACATTAACTTGAATTTCACCAGCCTATTAAAGTCCAATTTACTGGTGCTACAGAATACATCCTTTGGGGCTGGGAAGGTGGCTCAGTGGTAGAGCGCTTGCCTTGCATGCGTGAGGCCCTGGGTTTGATTCCTCAGCACCACATAATCAAAAAAGAAAAAAGCCGGAAGTGGTGCTGTGGCTCAAGTGGTAGAGCACTAGTCTTGAGCTGAAGAGCTGAGGGACAGCACCCAGGTCCAGAGTTCAGGCCCTATGACCGGACCCCCCCTCCCCCAAAAAAAGAATACATCCTCTGGATTTAGACATTCAATATGAGAAAAAAAAACAGCAGAAGAGCCAGGTGTAGTGGGGCATAACTGTAATTCTAGGACATGGGAGACTAAGGTAGGAGGACTACATAGCCTGAGCTATGTAGTAAAACCTGTATACACACACACACACACACACACACACACACACACACACACACACACACACACACACACACACACACACACACACACACACACACCGTTTGAGAAACTAAGGGATACAGGCTATGTTTAGTTCTGGGTGTTTACTCACTGTGTAACCTTTAAAACTTATAACTTCTGTATCCCAGTCCTCTACACAGGACTGAACAGGGAGATCCTATAAACCTAGTTTATGATTAGGATAAAATGAAACGGTACCTATGGTACTGCCACGTGAAGTGACTGGGGCAAGGCTGAGCCCTGGACAAAGCTTGGAAGTTTAGTAACTGACTAATCAGGATTTGAACAAACTTCCTTTGATCTCTCTACCCTTATTTTACAATTTTAAGAATGAAAGTATTTTTAAATGAAGTATAAAAATGTTTCCAATGAAGCCTATTAAACTGAATCTCCAGTGTAACTTCAACCACATTAAAAATAATGTGTGAAAAAGAGAAGGAAGGGCTGGGAAGGTGGCTCAATGGTAGAGTACTTGCCTTGCATGCTTGAGGCCCTGGGTTCGATTCCTCAGCACATATGCAGAAAAAGCAGGAAGTGGTGCTGTGGCTCAAGTAGTAGAGAGCTAGCCTTGAGCTGAGAGCCCGGGCCAGAGTTCAGGCCCATGACTGACAAAAGAGAGAGAGAGAGAGAGAGAGAGAGAGAGAGAGAAGGAAGAGCTGGGTACTGTTGGCTCACACCTTTAATCCTAGCTACTCTGGAGGCTCAGGTCTAAGAGGCTGGTTCAAAGCCAGCCAGGCAAGAAAGTCCGTAAGACTCTTAACAATTAACCACCAGAAAACTGGAAGTGGTACTGTGGATTAAAGTGGTAGAGTGCTAAACTTGAGCAAAAGAGCTCAGGGACAGCACTCAGGGCCCAAGTTCAAGTTCCAGGACAAAACACACACAAAACAGAAGGAAAGATCAAGCCAATATTAATAATCACCAACAATGATTTACATTTTAGATGTGGGATAATGGCTGTGATTATTCCTTTATCAGCCTTATAAAAATCAGTACAGGTTTAGTATCCCAAAGCTGAAAATTTTTCACGATGCTCCAAAATCTTGTGCCAACAAGACAAGCAGACAATGCTACACTGATCTCACTCATGACAGGTTGCTGTAAATATACAGGTGCACCAAAGTATTCTGTAATGCACAGGTGAATCTGAATCGTAAGTGGTTTCATATTTAGACTTGGGTCCCATCTCATTCATTCCTCATTTACTATGTATAT